TCCTGAAGCTGTGGGAGGCTTGCGGGGCGGGGGGGGCTGGAGGGGAGGAAGCAAAGCGATGCCTCGGCAGCGGCCGCTGTGGAATCAAAATAAACCCTGCATCGGATAAGCGTCCATTTTGCCACTGAGCATGTGCACACCACCTAAGCTGGTGCTGCGGAGCATGCGCGGTCTTCTCTGCACATGGGCAGTGGGGCGGTGAAGCCACAGCGAAGCCTCTGCCCTTACTGGGCTCTGCCCTCGCTTCCCTTCCAGCGGCGCTTCCTTGCCTGGGAAGGAAAGGCACGGAAATGCGATGGCTATAGGAACGGGAAAGGACGCGGGAGAGTCCATGGGGACCCATCCTCTCCGCTGCCCCCTCTTTCCCTTGAGGAGTCAGGGCTGGGAGAGCGGAACGCGAGGTCCGTCCAAAGAGCTGAAGCAGAAGCGAAGGGCAGTCTACTCGCCATGACACTGGCGTCTTTCGATGACCTGAAGCCCTCCGGTGAAGGGTGATCTCGCACATCCACTTGCTGCATTACAGGAAGGTGGCAGAGGGCACGTTCCGACGACAAGAATAGCTTGCGTGTCCTCAAGAACACGTCGGTTCCCTAAGAACACCTCCCGTTTCTTTTCGCAATGCATTTATTTGTGTTTGTGTGTGTGTGTGTGTGCAATGAACAGCAAAGGCTCTTGCGACACCTTAAAGGATTACAGCTTTTATTTAGCTTAATGTTTATGGACTGTAGCACTCTCCTTCAGCCATATCATTGTTTCTGCTGGAACAGATCAGGGTCTTGCTGCCTCCCAAACTCTTAATTCTTTAAGATAGGAAGAAATGACTGCCAAATCACTTCTAAATATTTAATATCTGGGAAACCTTAGCAGGGGATGCCACAAGTTGGAAGTGACTTGATGGTATATAATAATTATTATTACTAACATGTAAGGACCTTTTTTTAAAAAAAAGTCATTTGCCATGGGGCTGTATTATTACTAACATGTAAGGACCTTTTTTTTTAAAAAAAAAGTCATTTGCCATGGGGATGCTTTTTCTTCCAAATATACATTATTGCCCACCTCTTGATTCCTACCACCTGTACTGCAAAACAAATTGTGAAATAAAGTGATCTTGTAGCCTTTTCTAATGGATGTTTCTGTACTCTTTCAGGGTGAACTGGGAAAGAATTTGTGCCACGTTCCTGTCTTCTCTGCCTGATCCACCTTTATTGCCTTCCCTCCACAGCTAAGATGTCTATTAAGCAGAATGAGGCAGAGTGCCAGAATGCCAGAAAATGTGGCATCCACCTCTTTCTCTTTCTTTGCTTCCCCCTCACCTCATCACCACCATCTCGCCCTGTGCCTTCCTTTTCCTCGTCCTCTGCTTTCCAGTGCTACCACACCTCCTTTTTCATGTAATGCTTTGGCTCCTTCCTCCCCTCTTTCCATGTGCTTCATGTCATGGTGCTGCCTGTCCATCCTGTGTAAAGCAGCATTTTTCTTCTTTAAACAGGCAGGCGAGCAAGCATACAGAGGCAAGGGACAGGGACAATGGGAAGAATGGGAGACCGAGGGTGATAATAGTGACAGTGCCCCTTTCTGTCTCTCCCACACTGGGGATACTGTAAGGGAGAAGAGAATGTGACAATAATAGAAAAAGCAAAATGTTTTAATCTCATGTTTGGGAGTGGGGGAGCCTGGCCTTTCCCTTCTCCCCCTCCCCACTCTTTATCTTGCTGCCCCTTTCCCCCAATACCTCTTCCACTCTCTCACTCAGTTCCTTGTGTTAATGGTGACCCTAGTGCATTCGTCCACCTACGTGACTGCCCATTTTAGCTAAGGATGGCAAGGAGGACTAGGCAGAGTTTGACACTTCTGGTACTCTTCTGCCTGAAGCAATGACCTTCCTCTGCCAACTGGACTGGCTGGCTCAGCTTACCAGTCAAGCTCTAGGAATGAAAAAATGAATGAAAGAGGTAAACGAACACAACATTCACAATATTCAGAGATACAGGCTGCAATTCTATATCTGTTATCTGGAAGTCAGACCCATTGAATTCGGGGGTA